CAAGTCTGTTTTAAAAAGTAGAATGTTACCATTGAAGTCATTTCTGAGAATAAGTCTCATTAGCTCCACAAGACTGTATAAGGAGTCTAGTGTCTAGTCTACTCTAGTGTTATTTATCCTATTTAGGCTGTCCCTGAGTTACAAACATGTGACTTGCATACAACTCATACTTACAACCCCGAGTTACAAACATGTGACTTGCATACAACTCACACTTAGAAATGGAGGCTATTACAATAAGCCCCTGAATTACAAACATTTGACTGATGTATGATTCACATTTACAAATGGAAGCTATTACAGTAGTAGGTAAATGTATCTGTTCCACCTTATGTACAAATTCAACTTAAGAATAAACTTTAAGGCTCGGCGCCTATAGCTCAACCGGCTAAGGCGCCAGCCATGTACACCTAAGGTGGCGGGTTCGAATCCCCCGCCCGGACCCGCCAAACAACAATGATGGCTGCAACCAAAAAATAGCCGGGCGCTGTGGCGGGCACCTGTGGTCCCAGCTACTTGGGAGGCGGAGGCAGGAGACTCGCTTGAGCCCAGGAGTTGGAGGTTGCTGTGAGCTGTGATGCCACGGTACTCTGTCCAGGGGGACAGCTTGAGGCTCTGTCTCAAAAAAAAAAAAAAAAAAAAAAAAAAAAAGAATAAACTTTAAGAACCGATTTTGTTCATATCCTCAGGACTGCTTGTATCTAGTCTAGCCCCCTCTTGTTTTATAGGTAAGGTAACTAAGGCTCAGAAAGGTTGTACTTACCTATTTAAGGTTAATTAGTGAGTAGAGCTGGCACTAGAGTCAGTAAGTCCTGGTTTCAAGCTGTAGGCTCTTTCTATAACACACAGTGTTTTTCACCCTTTTCTTTTTCTCACAGAGCACTTGCAGCTATAGTTAAACTTCTGCAGCACTTAAAAGAATATACTTTGTTTTGAACTGCTTTTGAAAATAATTAATGATCTTTAAAAATTTTTGTGGCACACCTAAGATCCTCTCACTTCACATCAGTTGAAAAATCACTGCATTAACTCTTTGCTTTCACCTGACAGGTCTCTGTGAGTCGAATATTCTTTGCCCAGCTCTACTGTTGGGAATGTGAGGGGTAAAAGAGAAGGAGTTTATAGTTCTGTGGATCTAATGACACTTATTCTCAGAAATGACATGAAAGAAAAATAAAGGAGTGTTCTGTTTCACTGAATTGAAAATGCTGTTGATTGTGATGTATGCCATTTTTATATATTACTAAGAAAGAACTTTGACACAATGCTTTTCCCTTAGAATTTTAATTTTATACATATTGAAAACTCTTATAGACTTAAACATAAGTTTTTTATTTCATTCTCTTATATACATGAAATGAAAATTGTAGGTAAAATAAATTAAGATTTTCTTAACCAACTGAATTTTTTTTTTTTTGGATATTGATTTTGTACCTTGCAGCTTTACTGAATTCATCAGTTCTAAGAGTTTTTTGGTGAAGTCTTTAGATTTTGCTCCATATAAGATTATGTCTCAGTAGGAACGATTTGATTTCTCTTTTCCAATTTGGATGCCTTTTATTTCTTTGTGTTGCTTGATTGCTCTGTCCAGGACTTCAGTGCTGTGTTGAATAAGAATGGTGAAAATGGGTATTCTTATCTTGTTCCAGTTCTTAGAGGAAAGGCTTTTTTTTAGCTTTTCCCCATTCAGTCTGATGTTAGTTGTGGATTTGTCATATACAGCTTTTATTATATTGAACTGTGTTCCTTCTGTGCCTAATTTGTTGAATTTTTATCATGAGGGGGTATTGAACTTTATCAGATGCTTTTTATTCATCTGTCAAGATGTTTCTGTGGCTTTTGTCATTCCTTCTGTTGATGTGTGTATGTTGAAACATCCTTGCATCCCTGGGATGAAATTCGTTTTATCATGGTGTGTTCTTTTATATGCTTTGGGGGGTGGTTTGTTAGTATTTTGTTGAGGATTTTTATATCTGTGTTCATTAGGAATATTGGCCAATAGTTACTCTTTTAAAATTGTATTCTGGGGGTGTTCGGTATCAGGATAATGCTGGCCTCGTATAATGAGTTAGGAAGAATTCTCTTCTCTTCAATTTTTTCAGAAATGTTTAAGAATTGGTGTTAGTTCTTTATAAGTTTGATAGAATTTAACAGTAAGATCATCCAGTCCTGAGCTTTTCCTTGTTGGGAGATGTTGTATTACCAATTCAGACTGTTATTGGTGTTTTCAGGTTTTATGTTTCTTCCTAGTTTAATCTTGGTAGGTTGTACATGTCCAGGAATTTATACATTTCCTGTAGGTTTTTCAGTTTGTTCATGTATAACAATTAGTGTTTCTGTGGTGTCAATTGTAATTTCTCCTTTTCATTTATGACTTTATTTATTTGAGTCTTCTCTCCTTTTGCTTGGTAAGTGAAGATAGTGGTTTATCACTTTTGTTTATTTTTTCAAAAAAGCAACCATTTCTTGATCCTTTGTTAATTTTTTAGTCTTGTTTAATTCTGTTCTGGTCTGTGTTATATCTTTCCTTCTACTAATTTTGAGTTTGATTTGTTTTTGTTTTTCTATCTCCTTGAGGTACATTGTTAGGTTAGTTAAAATCTTTCTACTTTTAAAATTTGGGTGTTTCTTGCAGTAAACTTCGCTCTTAGCTCTGTTTTTTCTGTAGCCCCTAGATTTTGGTATATTGTATTTCCAGTTTAATTTGTTTCAAGAAATTTCTAATTTCCTTCTTAATTTTTTCAATGGTCATTCAGCAGCATATTATTTAATTTCTATGTATTTTTACGGTTCCCAGAGTTCCTCTTATTATTGATTCCATGGTCTGAAAAGACACTTGATAATAGTTATGTTTTTTTAAATTCTTGAGACTTGCTTTGTTGCCTATCATGGTCTATCCTAGAGAATGTTCTATATGCTGATGAGAATGTATATTTTGAAGTCATTGCATAAAAATGTTCTGTAAATACCTGTTAGGTCCTTTTGGTCGAAAGTGTGACTCCAGTGTTTATTTTGTTAATTGTCTATTAATAGATGATCTGTGCAGTGCTCTGAGTAGGGTGTTGAAATTCCTACCTATTATTGTATCAGAGTCTATTCTTCCCTTTAGATCTAATAATATTTGCTTTGTACAGGGTAGAGATAAAGTTTGTGTGCAATTTAAATAGTAAACTAATTTACTATTAGTTTTAAATTAGTAAACTAATTTAAATTGCACACAAACTTTATGTCCACCCTATGTATCTGGGTGCTCCAATGTTGGGTGCCTATATATTTAGAATCATTATATTCTCTTGCTGAATTGATCCCTCTGTTATAATATAGTGATTTTTTTAAATTCTTTTTACAGTTTTTGACTTAAAGTCTATTTTATCTGATGTAAGTGGAGCTATTCCTGCTCACTTTTGGTGTCTGTTTGTATGGCGTATCTTTTTTCATCCCCTAATTTTCATTCTGTATTTGTCTTTACAGATGAAGTGAGTTTCTTGTAGGCAGGATATAGTTGCACTTGGGTTTTTTTAATCCATCCTACATCTTTTAAGTAAAGAATTTAATCCATTTACTTCAAGGTTATTATTGATAGGTGAGGACTTATTCTTGTTCTTGGTTGTTTTCTGGTTGTTTTGTTAAATAGGGAATCTTCCCCCACTCAGTGTTTTTAATTGGCTTGTCAAAGATCAAATAATGGTAAGTAGCTGGGTTCACCTCTTGGTTCTGTATTCTGTTCTATACATCTGCCTCTGTTTTTGTGCCAGTACCATGTTGTTTTGATCACTTAACTATTTGTAGTATAGTCTGAGGTTTGGTAGCATGATTCCTCCTGCTTTGTTTTTATTTCTGAGTAATGTCTTGGCTATTCGAGGTTTTTTCTGATTCCATATTAAACGAAGTATTATTTTTTC